CACCTTGCCATTGCTGAGGCTGGCTTTGAACTTTCGATCCTCCTTCCTCAGCCTTCCAAGCCACTGGGATTATAGGCATGTGCTTGCTGGGTTGTGTTTTTCTTGAGATACAAAATGTTTCTTCAGAGCAGTCACAGGTTCTTTGTCAAGTCTCTATATGCCTGTTTCTCTGAGATTATAGTTGCTTCTTCAGAGGATGAAAAATTGTAGTCTTTGGGAGGAATTTGTAACACCTCCCACCTCTTCCTTCTCTCTCCAGCTCCCTGGGTCAGCTCCTGGACCCATTCTATAAGCAAGTGGAGGGTAGTGGTAGGCAGGTGTGGCACAGTGCAGCTCCTTGCAGTTGGCTGTCTCCCCGTAGTTGCTAGTGGGACAGATTCTCTTTGGAAGTTTTTTTAGGACAGAAAAGGCTGAAGTAACCTCCCGAGAGAGGTTTTAGGCCCCTCCCTCCATTCCTTCCTTACTGCTTCCTGTGGCTGTGCTGCCAGGTGGTGGGGCTGGGGGCTCTTGACCTTGCTGGGTGTGGGGGCTGGTGCTTGTCGGGGGCTGGGGTCCTTGTATGAGTCTGCAAAGAAAAGCCTACCCAATTGACTTTGCTTGCTAAACAATTTTTAAGAAGTTATTTTTTTCTGTCTTATTATTTATAAGAGATTTGGAAAATAATTAAGTATAAAGTAGTAAACAAAATTTACTTAGTATTCAGAGGGAAGAAAGGTAATGATTGATAAATTTACTTCTGTGATATATTAATACATGTATGTATATGTATGTGCATATATAATGTATGTGTATATAGAATCCACACATTCTCTATTTGTGTACATAAGAGCCACAACACTGTAGAATCTAGGATATATATTGTTTTCTTAAGATCATGGAGCATAGGCATTTTCCATTTAGCATTAAGTACATTCTAAATATTTTCCCATGCTATTAAAAACCTTGAAGAATGTGTATGATATTTCATTGTGTTGTTGTACAATCATTTATTTAACTAGTTCACTATTGCCAGTCATTTAGATCTGGTCTGTGGGGAAAAAGTCAGGACTGTGGCTGCAGTGGTCAGTGTGACAAAGTTGCTCAGGTGGGTCAATGTAGGTCTGGGTATCCCAGACTAAAAATGTACTCTCAATTATCTGGCCAACTGATGCTTTTTGGGATGCCACTCATCCTTGGGCTGTCAGGATTGTACTGTAGACCAGGTGAGGACTAGTTAGAGAAAGCAAATTAATTTCTTATTGTGTGGGGAGTACTTTTAAATGACAGTCTCTCTTTCTCTTTCCCTTCCCTCCCTCTCTCTGCTATGGTCGCTCCACAGGGCAGTGAACGGCTTTGACCCAGCTCCTCCTCCTCCTGGTCTGGGCTCTTCGCGCCCCTCTTCAGCTCCGGGTATGCTGCCTCTCAGTGTGTGAGTGCCCGGCCTCCAGGTGGGGGCTCCTGCCCTCCTCCAACAGCCCAGGACACCCACGCCTCACCCCTTGGTGCCTGGGCCCAGCCCTGTGCCCTTCCATCTGCCTCCCCATGGCTGGCAGAGGGCAGGCTGCATGCAGTGGCGGCTGCTGGGCCCTGCCCAGCCCCAGGACTCTGCGCGATATCAATACTGGCTATTTTTTCTTCTCGCCGTAGTGCCGTTGGTTTCACATGATTGCACTTTTGTGGGTCACAAGGTGATACATACGTGTATTACTTGGTTACTGGATGCAGAAGTATCATTCATCACACCTGCCTCATAGCCCCCACTCTGCTGTACTGATAGGATTTAGTTGTGTTTAGGACATTGCAGATCTTCTAGAAGTTTTTCCCCAAATCAGGTTTACACGTGCCCTCTCCTGAGCTCCCACCCATGCATCTTCAGTGCTCATGATCATGTGTCCCCCAACTTCATCCCCACAGTTTGAACTGTTTCTGGCAGAGTCAGGAA